CAAGCCCTTATTATATGAAATGTTGAAGGGACTTACCTAAGAAACAGAAGATGATCAAAAATATGAGCAGTGGAATGACAAACTCACAGCTATCAACAACTGAACATAAAAACAAAGACAAAAACACACTGAGCAAAAAACTAGAACAAGAAGAGATTACAGAAATGGAGATCACATGAAGCGTTATTAGCAGGGATGGTGAGGGAGGAGAGTAGGATAAGAGGTACAAGGAATAAGAAGCATAAATGGTAGGTACAAAATAGATGGGAAGGTTAAGTATAGTATAGGGAATGTAGAAGTCAAAGAATTTATATGTACAACCCATGGACATGAACTAAGGGTGGGTAAGCTGGTAGGAGGGGTGGTACAGGACAGAGGAGAATAAATGGGAGAAAAAGATGGGACAGCTGTAATAGCATAATCAATAAAATATATATTTTTAAAAACTGTTAAAAACCTAAAACCTGTTAGATTTTTAAAGGTATTGCTTAGCTTTGTAAATGACCTCAAACAAATATAAATCTGTTTCAGTGCTCATTATGTGTCATGCACTGTTTGGCATTGATGTTATAGATAATGAAGAAAACATGCAAGATTTCTTACCTCACTTTTCATAGAAATCCTCAACAGATAAATCTACTTTAATGAAAAGGAGAATGAGGTGATCATGATTTAAGTTTTGAACTAGCTTATCCAGAAGATCAGAGAAGACCTCCCTAATCTTGAATCCAGTGGAGAAACAGCAGGTTAACATTTCCTTAACGTGCTTGGTCACCTGTGCTTGAAATGGGAGTCCCCAAACTCCAAGTGGCCTCTTTATGAATGCCTTGTCCTTTAAAAGGAACAGGCCCCCCTGCTTCTTTCCACATACATCCAGTGAGGGTTTTATTACACTAGGTCTCCCTTCTATATATTCTGACTTTCAGAAATGCTGAGGTATGTTATTCATTTCTTACCTGTGATGAATTTGACCCAGCATCTCTTGACACTCACCTTCAGGACCTTAATAAAGTTACTTACTTCATAAGTCCTGTAAGTGTTCAGGTCGTCTTATCACCCAGAGTAGCATGATTGACTTGCTATTTAAAATTCCTGTGCTCTGCAGAAACAAAACAAAACAAAATAAAACAAAACAAAAATACTTAAAAACCACTTCTCACATCTTCTAATGAAGCTCTCCTTTCTTCTTTTTTTTATTGTCAATCATGTAATATCCTTCATTACTTGAGAGTATTAACCCACAAGTGTCTGCCCTTTGTTCTCTAGTCTAATTTGAGATTAGACAAAAGCATTACCATATGAAATTCACCTTAGGCTCTTCCCTAAATGCAAAATAAGGCCATGTATAATATTTCCCCTAAAACTATAATATATCAATGCATGTTTGACAATTTTTTTAAAGGACCATGGTCAAAACCAAAAGTATATTTTGCATATTTAGACAGCCATCCATTAAGAACCTATGTTCTCTTGACATATTTATCAAAATAATTTTTGTTCTAAGTAATAGAAAATAGAAAATCTGTCATCTATATAATTTATCACATTCATTGTAAATTTAGGGGGAAATGCATCATACAATTATCACGATTTTTGTTTTTGCACCTGTGAAAATAAAGTTGACATTAACAAAAAAACAGATAACAAAGATTTCTGCTCTCAAAGAGCTTAAATTCTTGTATGAGAAGATAAAAATAAGTAATAAATAAAAACTATAGCATAATAAGTGCTATGAAGAAAAAAGATGTGGTGATGTAACCAAATAGGGTTCAGTAGGGTCCTACTGCTCACTGGCAATAGGGAAAAATCTGGAGATAGAGTTTGGTGGAAAGGAAAAGGCATCTTTTATTTAAAGCATATACAGTTTAAAATAATGGCAGGTTTCTGCCTGAAAGCCTGTTTCCTGTAGGACACCCAGAGACAATCACCCCACCTACCTCTGCCAGCTCAGTTCAAGGTTGCACTGGGAACCTCTTCTTGCACCAAAAGTCACTAGTGTTTAGGAAAGGTAGGTGGTGTAGTTGATTTTAAGTTGATGTCTGGCTTCAGGCACCCTTCTGGCTCAGTGTGTTCAGATGTCCTGCTCAGGGCTGCTGTCTTCTTTCTCTGGCTTCCTGTGTAGGGTAGGGGTATGGGGCTCATCACCTAGCCTTATGGCTTCCACTGACAACAACTAGTCCGCTAAGTCCTGTCACGCACATTTGTGTGGTGAGTCTGAGGGCCTGCTTGGGCTGGGGTGAGCAGAGCAGCAGCGATGGTGGGCACTGCTGCCGACTGCCCCCACTTGAAGAATATACATGTGGCAGGCTGGTGGCCGCTGTGGCAGTGTGGGGGATGGGCATGGGGCTTGCGGCCGAAGCCTCCTTCCCTCCCCTCCCCTCTCACTGGTCTAACACCTGCTGCACTCCAGGCAGGCCCTAGAGCATTTGGGGAGGGGTGCCGGGAATGTTCCCTGACCACGCGGTCCTCAAAGCCAGGGGCCCAGGAAATCCAGCATTCCCCCATCTCCGGCAGGCAGGAAAGAGGAGAGAACAACGAGCTAGCATTTCTGTGTGCTCCCCTTTTAAAGATTGCCCCCAGAATCCCCTGCGACAGAAGTAGCTGCATCATCACCCTGGTTGCCAGGGCAATATACACTGGTTCGGCACCCACACTGTGGCTGCCGCTCTTGTGCCAGCCTTGACGCTTCCCCACCTCTTACCCATTTGCAAGGCGAGAGGGCCCCCCCCATTACAGTGATGTGATTGAGAGTAACGGAGAAGGGGTTACTTCAGGTTGGGTGGTTAGGAAAGCTCTCTTTGTAGTGACATATGTAGTGTTGTTACTTGAGGGGAGACAGACCCATTATTTCCTTAATGGGAGAGGGGTGTTCTGGGCAGAGGAACAGCAAAAATACAAAGGCCTTGTGGGAAGTATGTGGTTAAGTATGTTCCAGAATAGGCAGGTGGCCCTGACTGGTGTGGCTCAGTGGGTTTGGGTATCATCCTGCAGACTGGTCGTCAGTTACATTTTTCAGTCAGGGTACATGCCTCGGTTGCAGACCAGGCCCCCGGCTGGGGACATGTGAGAGGCAACCGATCTGTTTCTCTTGCGCATTGATGTTTCTATCTGTCTCTTTCTCCGTCCCTTCCCTTCTCTCTAAAAATGAAAAAATAAAATCTTTAACAAAAAAAGGAAAAGAAATAGGCACCCAGCCCCTGGCTGGGTAGCCCAGTTGGTTAGCATGTTGTCTTCACATACCAAGGTTGTGGGTTCCATCCTGGGTCAGGGCACCTACCGTAACAACAGTCAACCAGTGAATGCATGAATGAGTGTAGCAGCAGGTTCATATCTCTCTCCCTCTCTCTCTCTTTCTCTCTCTCTTTGTTTCTCTCTCTCAAGTCAATAAATAAAATTTTTTAAGAAAGTATAGGCAGGGGCCACATTTTGTAGGACTCTAGACCAGGAGTGTCAGACTCATTTTTACCAGGGGCCAAAATGGCCTTGCAGTTGCCTTCAAAGGGCTGAAACACTTTTAGGACTGTTAAGGAGTTGAAATTACATTCAGCCCTTTGAAGGCAACTGCAAGGCTGATGTGGCCCCTGGTGAAAATGAGTTTGACACCCCTGCCTAGAGCCAGGAGGATGGAAAGCCATTGAGCAAGAAAGCTAAATAATCTGATTTACATTTTTAATAGATTCCTCTTGCTTCTCTGGGGATAACAGATAATAGATTGCCCAGAGTTGAAGTAGAGGGATTAGTTAAAGAAGCTCTAACATGTTATTAAAAAAAAACCCTGCAAGCCATTATGAAGGTTATGGAGGGTGGGTGGCAGAAAAGTATTGAAATTTTATTTAACAAGTTCTACTTTTATTTTTTGTAAGACTACAAATAGGTTAAGGAAAAACAATAACAACAATAAGTACTATGTGCTTTGAATTGTGTTGCTCTTGGTTCTGTGACTCAGAGTTGAGGAGTGAACTTTAGGTATGGCAAGCCTCTCAGTGTGAACCTAATGTGCCCACTTAAAAACCAGACATGTCTGGGCATGGTTTGAGGGGCTGTGGGGAAAGGCAACTAGTAATTTTTTTTGTATAGGGGAAAACAAGGCATGTGCGGGGGGAAAAATCATTGTACAAGGCAGTGTTTCAAGACCAAGGTTGATGGTGAAAAGGGAAGGGCAGTACCGTCTGGATATGCCTCCCAACCCTAACCAAACTACCACACTCTCTAATGCCCAAACCCTGAAGTGCAGGGGCTGGAAAGAAACTAGAAGACCTTTTTCATAGAAATCTTAGTATGGTACTGGGAAGGCAGCTGTTGGTGATGTGATCACAGGTTAGAGTTGTGAAACAAAATGGTGAGTTAAGGATACTCCTCACTTCAGCACAGAATACAGTGGGGCTTAGATCTTTTGTGGACTTCCAACAACACTGAGTGGCTTGGGCATATTAAGGGTTCCAGTGGTAGCACCCATCACTCAGGGTTTTTAAAGAGGATTAAGCAGCAACCAGCCCTCAGTTCTGTAGGAGCAATAATAATATTGCATTTGGGGTGAGGAGATATTAAATTATGTGTTTGTAGTAATTATTTATACTCACAGAAGAAAATTCTGTTGTTGGCCTCTCTACTTTTTCTTCTCACCAACTAAAAGAGATTCTAGATCTGCTAGCCTAGTTCCTAGACTTGTGTAAAAGGATAATGGGTTAAAAAAAAAGCAGCTGAAGAATATCAAGTAGTAAGACTGGATGATTAATTTCTATTGGAAAGTTGACAGAGAACTACTTATAAGAAAAGGCTCAGTAGAGGGAAAAGAGCCAAAGGAGAAGTGAATTGAGTGTGGAGGTGAATATAGGGAGCAAGTATAGAGTTGGGAGAAACATTGTGAGCAGAAGGAATTGGGAAAGGAGACATTAAGAAGCTGCTATGGATTTTGAAATGGATCTCCCTTTATTTTCTTAGGGAGATTCCTGAGATTTAAATTGCTTTTAACTTACTTTTTTTTTTTTTTTTGAGGTTAGACTTGTTTCTTATATGTGATGCCATTCCAGCACTGGACTCATGGAGGCTGAACATTTATTCAGGTAATAATATGTAGTATTTATAGAGCACTTTTTATGTACCCGGCAATCAACTAAGTGCTGTACTTGTATCTTTATGTAATCTTCACACAACCTCATGGTTGTGTTATTGAAAGTGTTATTGTACCCATTTAACAGGTGAAGAAATTGAGCCCTAGAGGCTACATCAAGATTGTGTTCAGCTAAATTAAAACATAAAAAAGGCTCCTGTATTTAAAGTGAGAGACAATGGTACCTTGGGTTAGATGATGTCATACCTCACCTGGCTGGCATAAATATTACAAATGTAAAGTAGTTATGATTGACTGAACTTCATTTCCATAACTTTTTCTCACTAGTGAATATGTTACCAAACCCAACCAGTTGGGGGTTGGGTGTCCTACCACTCACTGTCTACCAGGCAAATCTCCAAAGACAGAGTCGGTGGAAAAGAAAGGAGTATTTTATTTAATGGCAAGTTTCTGCCTAAAATATCTGGGTAACAAAAGTAAGGGGAAAGAAAAAGTATGACATCAAAATTAGCTATTTAAATATTTGTCATCACAGCTACTACATAGGTTCAAGAACTGAAAATAACACGAGAACAGAAATCTGTTCACAGTGCTGACTGTTATCACCAAGGCCTTTGGAAATAGTGGCAAGTGTCTGCCTCAAAGCCCGTTCCCTCTAAAACACCCAAAGAAAAATCACCCTGTCACCCTCTGCCAGCTCAGTTCATTGTTGCTCCAGGGACCTCTTCTCCTACCCAAAAATATCATCAATGTTAGGTCGTTTAGCTGGCTGTAGTCACTGTCCAGCTTCAGGCATCTTTCAGAGTCTGTGCCCCAGGCCTCTCTGCTCACAGGCCTGCACTGGCCACTGTTGGCAGGTCTGGTGGTGACTGTTGACATGCCCCCCACTGGGTGAGGGGAAAGAACCAACTGACGTTTTGCTTTCTGATCCATTTCAGAAGTCCTTTCCCAGAATCCCATGCATGCCAAAAGCCAGTGGGAGATTCCAGCTCTCCAACCAGTGAGGGCCAGTGTCAACCATATTTGCCTTTTCCCCTCTTCCAGCCACCATGATTGGCAAGGGCGCAAAGGCTCCAGTCACACAAGTGCAGCTCAAACCCCACCCCCATTTCCCTGGAGGGGTGGTGTCCCCGCCCCCTCCCCCTCCCATTACAAGTACATCATGCTTTCTGTTTGTCTTTAAAACAATGGGCATATGTTTGGTTTAAAAAAAAAAATTCAGGCCCTGGCTGGCATAGCTCAGTGGATTGAGCGTGGGCTGTGAAACAAAGTGTCGCTAGTTTGATTTCCAGCCAGGGTAAATGCTTGGGTTGCAGGCCATAACCCCCAGCAACCGCACATTGATGTTTCTCTCTCTCTCTCTCTCTCTCTCTCTTTCTCTCTCTAAAAGTAAATAAAAAAAATTCCGTTTAGTGTGTTAACCATAAGGCTTTTCTAACTTTTTAGAGTGTAGATAAAATGTTTTGAAATAGTTTAAATTTATTTGAGTAAATATTTACAAAAGGTAAGATATCTATAACTGGGGAATTCTTAAGAGGAGATTAATATAGATAGTAGTAGGAGTCTTTTTTGTTGATTTTATCACACTAGAGATACTATTCACAGGTATTTTTTTAGCTTTCAAGAACTTATTAGAGCCCTGACTGGTGTGGCTCAATGGATTGAGTGCTGGCTTGCGAACCGAAAGGTCACAGGTTTGATTCCCAGGCAGGGCACATGCCTGGGTTGCAGGCCAGGTCCCCTGTTGGCGTGGGAGAGGCAACTGATTAATGTATCTCTCACACATCAAAGCTTCTCTCACTATCTCCTCTCCTTCCCCTCTCTTAAAAACAAAAAAAAAAAAGAACCTTGTTAGAGTTTGGTATAGGAGCTTTCTTGGTGTATCTAAATGTTTGTTTACAGATCACATTAATTGTATTACTTGCCAGAACTGGGAGGGTTATAACACTACCAACTGAAGATCAATCAAAAAAGAAGATTGAGCATCCCTGAAATTATAATGTAGATTAATTGAAGCATTTTTAAGTTTAAAAAGTTCAGATTTATCTGCTACTTTGATTGGTTCTCTGTGTTTAAGTTTGCCAAGTGCTGTCTGTACACAGGGTGAAGTAAAAGTGTTTCTATCATTACCTTGTCAGTTATTGAGTGACCAGCACAAGTATGCTGCCCTAGTTTTCTTTTCCCATCTTTTTTTAAACTTGAAGTATAATTGACAGATATTAAACTGTATATATTAAAAGTATACAATTTGTTAAGCTCTTTTTAAAGATTTTATTTATTTTTTAGAGAGGGGGAGGGAGTTAGAGAGAGAGCAAATTATCGATGTGTAAGGGAAACATCGATTGGTTGCTGCTCGTCACACCCCAGCTGTGGACTGGCCGCAGCTCAGGCATGTGCCCTGACTGGGAATTGAACCAGCAACCTTCTTTGTGATATGATGCTCAACCAACTGAACCACACCAGCCAGGGCCACAATTTGTTAAGTTTTGACATAGGTGTTCACCCATGAAACTATCACCACAGTACAGATAATGAACATAATCATTATCCCCAGAAGTTTCTTATCCTCATTTGTAATGTCCCTCAATGTCTGTGGTCTCTAGGCAACCACTGATCAGCTTTCTGTCAGTATAGGATAGTTTCCATTGTCTAGGATTTTATATAAATGGAATTGTAAAGTGTATGCTCTCACATGTATTTATTTTGGGCTTGGCTCTTTTTTCTTTTACTAAGCATGATTACTTTGAGATTTATCTGTGCTGTTGCATGTGTCAATAGTTTATTTCTTTTTATTGCTGAATAAGCAATCTGTTGTATAGCTATAACATAGTTTGTTTATCCTTTCACTTGTTGATGTCCATTTGGGTTGTTTTCAGTTTTCAACAACTACAAATAAAACTATGCTATGAATACTTGTGTACAAATCTTTGTATGGACATAGCTTTTCCTCTGAGATTTTTTTTTAATTTGAGGTAAAATTCACATAACATACAATTAATAATTTTAAAGTCTACAATTCAGTGTTATTTAGTATGTAAATATACTAAATATGCCGTGAAACCACAATCAGTCTTTAGCTTTAAAACTTTTTTTATCATTCCATAAACCATCTCGTACCCATTAAGTCAGTGGTTTCCACCTTTTTGGCACCAGGGACTGGTTTCGTGGAAGACATTTGTTCCACAGACTGTGGGCAGGGGATGGTTTTGGGATGTTTCAAGCACATTACATTTATTGTGCACTTTATTTCTATTATTATTACAGTGTAATATATAATGAAATAATTATACAACTCACGATCATGTAGAATCAGTAGGAGACCTGAGTTTGTTTTCCTGCAACTAGGAGGTCCCATATGGGGGTGATGGGAGACAACGACACCTGAAATGTGTTGCTTATATGTGCAGTCTGCTCCATGATCTTGTTTTGACTGCTATCACTGCAGAAAACCCTACATCACTGCAGAAAACCCTATGGGAAATGGAGGCAGACTTTTCAGTGCTTTTGTGGCAATTTCAGGATATTTCACCTTGACTTTAATCCAGAATGTGTGGAGAATTTGAAGTCTCAAACATATTTTTAAGGCCACCATCATTTGCGATCTCAAGCAGTTGATCCTCTTCTAGTATGGACAAAGTTGATTCACCTGACCTATTCACAAATGGGTTACAGATCCATTCCTTCCCAATTCAGGGGTCTTTTGTGGTCGGGAAGTAATGCTCAAACTCTTTTGAAAGCTGAGGTAGGTGATCATGCACCAGCTGGGAGAAAGAAGGCCCTGGCTCAGTCACTTTCAAAAATCTCTTAATGTTTGAAACATGTCAAAAATCTAATGTTCATTTATCACCCCCATAATTCCAGTTTGGCTTTGAGTGCAGCCGCTTTATCTGCTGACTTGATCACAGTTGTTCTTCTCCCCTCTAGTGACAGAGTTTGTTGGGCAGGTTGAATATGTCACACAAGTAAGCAAGTTTTGCGACCCATTTTGTGTCACTGAAATGTGCTACCAGTGGTGACTGCTCTAAAAGCAATCTCTGGAGCGGCTCTCATAACTCAAAAACTCTAGCCAGTGATCTTCCTATAAAAAGCCATCCCTCTTCTGTGTATAAGAGAAGACGTGTGTGCTCTGTGTCCATCTCCTCACAGAGCTGCATGAACAGATGTGAGTTAAGGGCATGTACTTTAATGTGGTTGATCATTTTAATCACATCCTACAAAAAGTTAACGTTCAGGTGACATTTTTCAGCTAGCCAGCATTTCTCTATGGATGACACAGTACATAGATTCACATTCAGAAGCAACCTCTTAGACCCAAGTAGGGAAACCAGAACGGTGTCCAGTCGTGGCAGCCGTTCCATCGTTCCATCTGTTCATATACTGACACAAAATGACCAGTTCAGTTTTCCTGATACGTAATCATTTGAAGACTTGAATAGCACTGCAGCTGTGGGGTTGGTTAGCAACAGAAGTATACAAAACAGCCCTAGCTGGTGCAGCTCAGTGGACTGAGTGTCAGTGTGTGGACCAAAGGATCACCAGTTTCATTCCCAATCAGAGCACAAGCCTGGGTTGTGGGCCAGGTCTCCAACTGGGGGTGTATAAGAGGCAACTGATCAATGTTTCTCTCACACATCAATGTTTTTCTCCCTCTCTTTCTTTTTCCCTTCCCCTCTCTCTAAAACCCTTACATTTAAGATTTGATAGGAGGCGGAGCTCAGGTGGTAATGAGAGTGACTGGGGAGCACCTGTAAATACAGATGGAGCTTCAGTCACTAGCTAGATGCTCACCTCCTGTTGGTTCCTAACAGGCCACAGACCGCTATCAGTCTGTGGCCCAGGGGTTGGGGGCCCCTGCATTAAGTAATCATTCCTATTATTATATTTTATAGATTAGGAACCTGAGGTTTAGAGAGAATAAGTAACTTTCCTCAAATCCTCCAACTGGTAAATATGGAATCTAGGGCTGTTTCTTCACTTCTCTATTTAGTTAAATATTATTTGCCCTTCAGGATTAGCCTTAGGCATCTCTTCTGGAAACCTTTTTTCTGGTATGATGTAGATGTGTGCTCCTTCTATGCCCATTTAACCTTGTGAGCAGCTCTAGTTACATTATACATTATAATTTACTCATTTGTTTCCTGCACTGTTGATACTCCTGGTAGGTGCAGAGAGGGAACTTAATTCCTCTGGCACACAAACACTAGATTGCATCCCAGAATATTTGTCTCTAAGAGGATAATGCATATTGGGGACCTTAAAACCTAATGTTACTCGAGGCCTACTTGCTCTGTTCATTCTATGCAAGCAGGTCCCTCAGTTTTGGATCCATAAGACAGGTGATATTATTTACATATTCCAGGTTTTCAAATCAGTGAACGTATTCTTGTTGTATTACTTCAGAGAAGATTAAATAACAACAACAAAAATAAGAGCTGACATTTAAATGGCATTCCATGTGTCTAAACATTTTACCTGTATATTAATTCATTTAATCTCTACAACCCCATGAGATAGTTACTTTTATATTTGTTTTACAGATAAGGGAAACTGAGGCATGAAGAGAGTAAGTAACCCCAAGATTATACACCTTATACGTGGTAGAGCTGGAAATCAAATGTCTAAAATTTCTATTGTGCAGAATACTGATCAGATTCCTGCAGTTACATGTTTTGCTAGGATAAAGACGAGTGAGGATTAGAGCTCAAGTCAGATGGCAACAACTCTGGTGTGATGATCTTATAGAAAATGATGATTTAGTATACATTTTTAAAAATGTTTTTTTGTTCACTGATAAGTGACATTTATTTATTTTTGTTGTATTCTTTGTGTTTTCTTTTTAAAACAGCAAAAAGAATGAAAAGATATTTCTCATTATCTTTATTTCAAAATCATGATCAAATTTCTGAGCTTTCAGTCTATTTAATTCCCACTTGCCCAGAGAATAACAGCAAAAAGTGTTAATTTTAGTTGAGACTTAGGAGGTTGATAGTAATTTTTATATTGGTTGATTTCAGAATCCTGTTATCTTTATTAGAGAGATACATCTGAATTTTATCATTGTGGTGGGATTTATCTGCACATACCTCCTTTTTTGCCCCTGCAGTCCCTTGAGCATTGCAGTGATGTTAATTTTGAGAATGCTAAATAGCTTCAGTAATTACAGACCTTACTGCATTTGCATTTCTAGACATTTATATTTTTGTATTTTTGGTCTAGAATAGGATGTATTGGAACTTGTTGGATTTTGTGTTGTTGTTTTTTTTTTTTAAATAAGACTTTGTATTTTGTTCAGGGAGAAGTTATATTAATCCATGTAAGTCCAGCTGTGGAATTTAGGGCTAATGGGAATTTATTTTGCCACTGCCCAGGAATATCATACTTTTGCTAATAGTATCTTGAGATCGCCAAGAGTAGCTTTTCTTCACGATAACGCCTTATGTTGTACATATGTTTCAGACCAACATAGAGGATACAATTTTATTAAAATAAGCTTTTAAATAAATACCCAGGCTAGTTTTGGGATTTATGTGATACAAAAACATGTCTGTAACATATTCACCTTATTGACAAACTTTTTAAAAATGATTTTTAGAGAGAAAAAAAGGGAGAGAGAGAGGAAGAGAAACATCAATGTGTGGCTCCCTCTCAAACACCCCCTACTGGGGATTTAGCCCACAACCCAGCCATGTGCCCTGAATGGGAATTGAACCAGTGATCCTTTGGTTTGCAGGCCAATGCTCGGTCTGCTGAGCCACACCAGCCAGGGCAAACTTTCAGTTATCAATCATGCAGGATATACTGCTGAGCTCTCTTTTCTTCAGCCATCATTCTCTCTTCCTGAGAGTATCATGTATAATGTTGTCAAGGTCATTTCAGTTTGTTTCAGAATAGATTTGATTCCACATTACCTACTTCTGCCACAATATTCTAACCTTTAGTTTGGAACTGAACATTCATCAGAGTGATAAGTATGTTAAGGAAAGTTGAAAACCAAAATAATGTTTTTGACAGTGTGATAGGATGTAGGATATGATTTGTAGACTTGCTTTGAGCTCTTAGGATTTGACTGGATTGGCTCATGCAAAACTCAAGGGGTTAGGGATAAAAGCATAAGAGACATGTAGAACGGTACCTTTTCCTAACCTGCTCTTTTGGATTTCTTTTCACTTCTCATCATATTTGGAGCTTAAGAAAGAGCTTTAGGACTATTTAGTTAATTAAATTTCCTCTCTGGTAGGAGTATATTAAATTACTGAGTGTTTTTAGTATCCCTGTACAGGTAGGTAACTAAGTGAAGTTGAAGAGAGCAGAAATGTCCTCATGATAAAAATGCACTCTGTTTTTATTAATTTCATTTTTAAGGAAGCTGTTCTGAAATTAGAGGAAGCAGCTAAATGAAGTAACCATATATAAATAATTCATTTTCTGGTTATGCCAGGCTTGCTTTTATATTATATCAGTGTTGGGGTATCAGATAGCCACTCCGTACTTGCTTTTTGTAGTAATAGTTTATTAATAACTACATATTCGTATGTCAGGAACTGAGAGTAAGGAGTATAGCAGTGAAGAAAAAGGAAAACTCCTTGCCTTTGTAGAGCTTATATTTTCCCCAGTTTTAAGGAGATGTAATTGACATATAGCTCTGTTAAAGTTTAAGACATACCACATATTGACTTGATATGTATAGGAGGTTTATCCGAAAAAGTCCAGCCATTGTTAATATAATAAGAATAGTAGGTAGAAAATAGACAGCAGGAAGTTAAGCATAGTATAGGAAATGTAGAAACCAAAGACCTTACAGTATATGTATGATCCGTGAACATGAACCAAGGTGGGGAGGGGATGTGGGTGGGAGGGGATGTGCAAGGCAGAGGGGAATAAAGGGGATGAGAATGAGACAACTGTAATAGCATAATCAATAAAATATATTTTTTAAAAAGCTAGCAGCCAAGGAGAGTGGCCTGGAATGTGCATGCATGAACAATGACAACTTCACTGTACCTAGTGGTGGGGGGCAGTGATAGACACTGTTGAGTGAACATGCGTACAGTGTGGCCATCACATTCAAAATGACTGAGCAAGTAGAGCAATGAATCTGCATCAAATTTTGCATTAAGCTTGAACATTCCTCCTTGGAAGCTATTTGGGTGACTCAGGAAGCTCACCTGTAGGCAACTGATGATTGGCAGCTTCATCACAACAACGCGCCTGCTCATGCATGCATCTGGTGCTGAGTTTTTGGTGAAACATCAAGTCACCCAGGTGACTCAGCCACCCTACAGCCCAAATTTGGCATTCTGTAGCTTCTGGCTTTCCTCAAACTAAAATCATCTTTGCAAAGGAAGGGATTTCAGACCATCGATAAGATTCAGAAAAATGTGATGGGGCATCTGGTGGCGACTGGGAAAACTGCATGAGGTTCCAAGGTGCCTACTTTGAAGGGGCCTGATACATCATTGCTTATGTACAGTGTTTCTTGTATATTCTTCAATAAATGTCTCTTTTTCATATTATGTGGCTGGATACCTTCTGGACAGACCTCATATTACAGCATGATTACCACAATAAGTTTAGGTAACATTCATCTTTTCTTTGTAAGTTAGAAAAAATAGAGCTTACATTTCAATGGGAGAAATGTTTGTAAGAAAAATAATACCAGTAGACTGGCCCTGGCTGGCGTAACTTAGTGGATTGAGTGCGGGCTGCAAACCAAAGTGTCTCAGGTTCAATTCCCAGTCAGGGTATGTGCCTGGGTTGCAGGCCATGACCACCAGCAACCACACATTGATGTTCCTCTCTCTCTCTCTTTCTCTTTCTCCCTCCCTTCCTTCTCTAAAAATAAATAAATAAAATCTTAAAAAAAAAGAAAAATACCAGTAGACTTTCATTTAGTCAATGACAGAAATCCCTGAAATGATACCCACAGATAGTTGTGTTTTGGTTATGATTTCTCTTGAAATTGGTTCTACTCTTTTGCCCTTAAGGTGTATTTTTGCCCATACTGGGGAGAGGTGGGATGGCAGAACCAATAATATTAGTTTTAGCTTGTCACATATTTGCTGTGCATTGGGCACCCTGCAGAATTACTTTGAAAATATTTCATCGCATTAAAATCCTATGAAGAAGGTTTTATCTATCTTATTTTACAGGTCAGTAAAGTGAGACTTACAGAGGTGGTTACTAATCTGATATCAAGTAGCTTGTATGTGATAGGGCTAGGTAGGCCTGCTTCTAATAATTTTAAGTCCCAGGGAAAGGTCATGAATGGAAGCGCATATTCCATGTCTAAATATTTAAGTTATAAATCAGGATTTTTAAATAACTTAGAAAAATTGTTCTTATTTTACCTAGATAGTGTACTTTCTTTTTCTTTTCTTTTTTTATTTTAATCATTGTTCAAGTACAGTTTTCTCCCTTTTACTCCCAATCTAGCCCACCCACCCAACCCTTCCCACTTCCTTCCCGTTACCACCCTCCCCCTAGTTTTTGTCCCTGTGTCCTTTAAATTTGTTCCTGTAAGCCCTTCCCATTCTCCCCTGAAATTCCCTCTTCTCTCCCCTCTGGTCACTGTCAGCCTGTCCTCTATTTCAGTGTCTTTGGTTATATTTTGCTTGCTTCTTTGTTTTGTTGTTAGGTTCCTGTTAAAGGTGAGATCATATGGTATTTGTCTTTCACTGCCTGGCTTGTTTCGCTTAGCATAATGCTTTCCATCTCCATCCAAGCTGTTGCAAAGGGTAGGAGCTCCTTCTTTCTTTCTGCTGCATAGAATTGCATTGTGTAAATGTACCATAGTTTTTTGATCCATTCATTTAAATAGTGTACTTTCATAATGACTTAGAGCCCAGAATTCTTGGACTTCTCAGACTTCTAAGACAGTAAGGGATATTGCAGGAAGACCTCCTAAATCTAGGCTTTTATCTATACCTCTCTCATAATCTGTCCCTTGTACACCATTCAGAACATGGAATGTGTATAATAGTGCGTATTATCTATGGGAGGACAGAGTTTGAGAAGAGATCCACTGAAGGCTCTGGAAGTGGGCTTGGGACTGCTTGTGTAGGGAATGCTGTGATCCAGAGTATAGTTTGGGATGGTAGAGTCAGAGGCTTTAGGTAGGTGTGTCCCCTTGGTCCCATAAACATCTTGCCCTCAGGAGATAGGTAAGTTAGAAGGGGGTCAGAGTGGCTCTGTCTAAAGTGGGAGACCAAGAAAATGGTTCTTTTACCACACACATTGGTGGTACTAGTGCCAGGACTCAAATCCAGGTCTGTCCGAGCATGTTGTCTGTTGACAACAGTAAGAAAGCCTGAGTTTACGGAGAGAAGAGTGACAGCTTGCTGTGTGGGGAGTGGAGCAGGGATGGAAAACAGCTGGTCCATCCATGTTAGGTCATGTCTGGAGAAGTGCTTTATATGGACCATGTTTTAAGTGAGCCAGTCTGTCTCTCTGAAAATACTATTTAGTGTTGAGTCTTAGAATCTAGAGAATTTAAGAATTGGGGGAAAAAACTTTATCTTATTCCAAGCACATTCTCATCTTTGTGTAGTTTAAGTTGAGTGGTAG